GCCCTCACATGGAACCCACAAGGCCGAAGGAGGAGAGGAAGACCAAAGAACACATTACGCCGAGAAATGGAGATAGACATGAGAAAAATGAACAAGAATTGGATAGAACTAGAAAAGAAGGCCGAGGACAGAGTGGGTTGAAGAATGCTTGTCGGCGGCCTATGCTCCATTGGGAGTAACAGGCGTAAGTAAGTAAGTTAGTGTATTACGGTTTAATCCAAACTTTAGGTTGTACAAATAGTTTCAAATGATTAGTCAGTATATATTGTGTTATAATGACAGGTTGTTCATAGCGGTCATTTGAAATAAATAAAAACAGAAGTGGGTTCTAAGTGAATCCGTGTTCAATCATACGACATTGAGCTGAAGTTTCTTACAAAAATAATAAACTTTGTTTCAGGTAGTTGTTACATCATTTAATTTTATTCTGTTTATGAGTTGCTAACAATAAAGTCTATAGAAGTAATGAGAAATCAGCTTAATAAGAAAATACAGATTTATGTACATTACGTGACGTGAAATGTTTTGTCACAATGCTGGTGATTCCACTCAGCTGTCCCATTCTATTAAGGTAGAATGTGGTGTTCAAAACTGCAACTTGTTGAATGAAAGCTTAGTGCTTAAATTATTAAACCATTGTTAGATGTCCTAGTGAGCGGCCTATACTCCTTCACGAGGAGTAACAGGCGTAAGTAAGTAAGTAATTGTTAGATGTCAGTCAACGCATAACAAACAGTCTGTCGGTAAAATGACAGTTAGTTCATCGGAAACCAACAATCGTTTTACGTGAATAAGCATATTATTCGGCTTTCAAATCTAAATGAAAATAATTTTTCTTCAAATGACTGATCGTTTGCCAATTCGGAAGTTTTTTTTTGTCAAAAATCTTTTTATACAGTTTCTCATAAACGTTGAGGTACTTAATTGATTACCACTCGACAGTGTCTGAAATTTGGATGCAACTGATATTTTCCATGATATTCAAACCCATATTATCCTGTATCATAATGACAGCCATTGCCAGTGACCCATTATATTTGTGAATGGTTGTTTGTTATTATACCGTAGTGATAAGCAACAAACATGATCAAAGCTTAACATCGCTGGATAGTCAATAAATTACAGATGAATTTTTCTTCTACTATACATGAAATAATAATTTCTAATAACGTTAAGTTTTCGTTATGTAGTCTGTTTATACGTAAATTTGTGCTCCATGATTAACAAACGGATGGTATTAATGTTATCCTTTGATATTATGGTATGTTAAGATCACTTAGTCAGTTTGTGTTTACAGATGCTTTCTTGAATACCACTTATTAATTAACGTAAACTAAACGATTTTCTAATGGTTTACATTGAAAATTTATCAAACTACTTGATTAAACTTCTAGTTCATAGTATAATGAGAAACAAACATGTGCCCCTACTAGGACACAACATTTTATTCTTTAAATACATATTTATCAACGGACACTGTCTGTATTAATCAAAACTAAACAACATATATGCTTAAAATAATTCATAAGGTATTGAACAATTGCATAATGCTTTCAAGATATTCTGTACTAAAATTAAAAGAAGGTAAAATACAATATCGTTGTATTCTTTCTTATTCATTTCAATAACAATGTAGATAAAATAAGTGACGATGTATGTAATTAAACGTTTTGTTGTGCTCTATTTCATGACTAAGAAATTGTTTCTCAAAAAGACTTTACAGGGTATAAATAAAAGATTTTCAGATGAATTCCCGTTGAAATAAAAAGAATCATATAAAATATCAGTTATGTCTTGAGGATGACACAAGGAGACAAATATAACAATTATTAATTTACTGAAATTTGATTGGCAAAAAAGTGAGAGCAATCTCAAGTAGTAAATAACTTTAAGTATCATTACCAAAATATACTGGAGATTATTTATGTGAATCGAAAACCATCAATAAAGGTTTATATTTAGGGTTTAAATTAAATAACTAATCAGTTACTAATGATCAATGTCATTTTCATATCAACTACATACAAATAATCAGTTTACCTGTTGACTTCGAATTGTGAATTTTTATAAGTAGACGATTTTATCATGTAATAAATAATGGCAGATGACCTAGCCTTCCTATCGCATACACACGAACAAATGCAGATAAAGACAACCAGTGTAGCAGCAGTCTCTGCATCAGTAGGCCTCAACATAAACATGGGGAACACCAAGGTCATCAAATACAACACGGAGAACTGCAATCCAGTCACTCTTGATAGCGAAACTCTGGAAGATGTAGAATCCCTCATATGCCTGGGAAGCATCATCGATGAACAAGGAGGTTCAGATGCAAATGTAAAGGCGAGGATTAGCAAAGCAAGGGCTGCATTCCTACAATTGAAGAACATATGGAACTCGAAACAATTGTCTTTCAACCAATATCAAAGTGAGAATCTTCAATACGAACGTCAAGACAGTTCTACTGTACGGAACTGAAACTTGAAGAAATACCACAACCACCATCAAGAAGGTACAAGTATTTATAAATGGTTGTCTACGCAAGATACTCAACATCCATTGGCCGGATACCATCAGCAACAGCCTTCTGTGGGAGAGAACGAACCAACTTCCAGCTGAAGAAGAAATTAGGAAAAGACGATGGAAATGGATAGGACATACATTACGCAAACCATCAAACTGCATCACGAGACAAATGCTAACTCGGGATCCTGAAGTGAAGCAGAAAAGAGGAAGGCCAAAGAACACATTACGTCGGGAAATAGAAGCAGATATGGAAAGGATGAATAACAACTGGAAAGGATTGCCCAGAACAGGGTTGGGTGGAGAATGCTGGTGAGCGGCCTATGCCCCTTCACGAGGAGTAACAGGCCTAAGTAAGTAATTACACAAATACATATTGATAGATTGACTTCAATAGTTACAGAATGTTCGATACTTGTATCACGTAATAAGAAAAACGGTTCGTTGGTTAGTAAAAACCTATGTAATATTTATTTATTGATAAATAAATCCGGATTCAGTAACTAAATGGATAATGCAACAGCATTCGGAGAGAAAGGTACTGAGTTCGAGTCACGGAGTGGATATAAACTCTCGAATCTAGGTACATCTAGACGACGAGTCCCAAATAGAACAAAACGCGCATCCTGGATTACACTGCTAGCCATCATCCATCTCTGTTTATAAATAACTATTAGCTTACATTGTTACTAATAATTATTGGTCACGGTTGTAAAGTAATTTCCGAAATAATTAAATGAATGAACAAACTATTTTTATCATTATTTACTGAATAACTTTTTGACATATAAAAACTACGAAAGTAATCCGATTGTAAATTCTTCAGCAAAAACTAATGGAATCCAGTTCTTTTGTTCATTAATTGTTTTTTGTAGCCCTTCAATTCGACAATTAGATCGTACAAATATGCAATGAACATAAATCACCAACTTCTCTCCGTATACTATCTACACTAAGCCTGTTTGTGTGACAGGAGTAACAAGATGTCAAATACGAGTTCCGTTGTAAGAATTTATTTCAAGTATTCGTTTATCCAGACAGACATTCAAAATATGAAGCGGAAAACCGGGGTGGAAGAGAGTGAGCCAACTCGATTTGTTCAAACGTGACTCAATATTTAGTCAAACAAAAATAGGTTACAGACACGTGATGAGTAGGGTAAGCAGTGCACACACATACGCCCATATAAAAACAGTCAAGTTTAATAGGCAAATGGCTAACAATATCAAAATGTGACGTGAATAGAATGAATAAATCGGTCTGTCTGGGAGCTTGAATAAACCATATGGGCTCAACGTAGGTACCAGATATTATAGTTTTGAAAGGCTTAGAAACGTGAAATACATGGGGGCTTAAGTGCTGTTAGAAGTTAAAGGCGGCCAAGCCAAAACGTGACACCAGTCCTTTAAGTCACTAACTTCTAGAGTGAGACATGTTGGTAGGTGCAGACTACTTGGTTGGGGTCTGAGCGACGATCCTAACCAATGGTTGGAGACTCTGGGTGACATGACTCATAATCCATCACAATGGCGTAGGTCTATACACTCTTTGTCCTCCCTTACACCTTCAGATTAAAATTACTTTGTACCTTTCTTTCTACGAACTAATTCTTCTCTGTATCATATTTTTATATGCAATCTTTTTTATATACACTACTACCATTGAAGTAACTACTTCTATAAATTTGATGTTCATCTTGTTGTGCTAATGAGGTGTGACAACTTCGACCGATGCATATATGTGTGTGATCCTACGTTGTAGACGACTGACTGATATGGGCGATATTAAATAACGATGAAGCTAGTGTGCCGTTATGAACTTTCGCATCTATGATCAACGAGATCTTTTGAATGTTTTCAGAAATAGGGACGAAAATTCATCTGACTGTCATGAATTCGCTGTCTTTTTAATTAGATGGGAAATACAAAGTACTGAGACATAACTGATCCAGTCCTTAATATAGTTGATTATTGTAGACTGTTTTAATCCATCAAGGAATAAACAATTCATAGTTCGAATTCGCAATACAATTGTAATTTATGGCTGAAAATCTCAAACGGGATAAACAAATATCGATAAGAATGGTAATCCGCCTGTTTATTCCACGCTACATGATGTTCTTATTCATAGAAGCTATGCCTACCGAATTTTGGGTAGCCAGGTTAGTATAATAGTTGTCATATAACCTAGCACAGTAAAATTGTACATAGATAATGAGTTTGTGAAATGATATTGTTTTGATCAATATAATGACCAAACAGTCGATTGAATAAACATAAAACCATAAGAATAACTGATTATTTAATTAACAAAACAAAAAAATATCCACATTTGACAAATATACAAATGAGTTAAGACGGAAATAAAACATATTTAAAACAAAACAGAATAGAATAAAATAATGGTTTTCTTGGATACATCGATAAAAAGCCAGACTATACGAATAATCACAAGAACAACACCAATAAATAATTCAATCATGCTAGTTTAGATTTCCCTTTATCACTGTTAGAACTTGTAACATCAGAAGTAGACTTTGACTGGAAATTATCATCAGTCATTTCACTAAATTCATTGATACGTGATTTGTCTACCGGATAAAGCCTGAAGAGAAACAACAAGTAATTTAGAATGAAAAAATAAATGGTTATATCTAGCAAAAAGTGAATATTTTACCAATAATTTAATAAAATATGGTATTATGTTTATTTTCCTCTTATATTCGACTATTGTTTGTGCAAAAAAATTCAATAAAATCACCAATGACTTTACATATCTCACATGACCTTAGATCACTAGAATTAAGAATATCATTTATTACACTTAATATTACGACACTGATCAATGAACTAAATGAACCTGATAAGAGTCTGCTCTAGGATTATCCACTGAATCTGAAATACTGAAAAGCAGAACTTAGAAAGGCTGCTTTAATACTGATAGGTTGTAACTTGAGGTACTAAACTACTGTTATGAAGGATGGTTAAGAGAACAAGTGAAATGGTAGATACATGAAGATATAAATACCAATCAAATACTTAGTTAGAGAAGAGAGTTATTCAAATGCAATATACAAATTCACCTCCATTTTTATTGACAAATTAAAATCTTATCTCCCACAATACCTAGTTAATATTGAGTTTCATTATTTGTATTATATATAAAAGATTTTGCTTGTCAAATAACTATCAAATAGAAAAATACCACAAGAAATCCTAATATGAAACAAGACCCATCACGTCGAATTAAAAACAAATAAATATAAAGCATATTAAACTGACATACCATCGTTGATATAAATAGATTAAAAATATTAAATCATCACGTAAACAAGCAATACGATGTGATGTAGGCATTACGATAATGAATGCGAAAAAGTCATCAATAAAAGTATTGAATGCCTAGAAAAAAGTAAAACCATAGAAAATAAAAACTGATAAATTCCCTTTTTAAGAGAAAATTGATGAAAACTAATAAAAATAATAATAATAATAATAGTAATAAACGTTTAAAAATTATAGGACATATGAATTAAAAGTATATTCAATCTGAAATCGATTTCAGTTAGAGAACCAGTGAAAACCAGAGAGTACTTGGATAACTGTTTCATTTAAGCTTTATGGATTTGACATCATTTTCTACATTTTACTTCACAAGGTAAGTGAGGGACAACAATGGTTTTAAAAAGCTCACTGAAAGATGACAAGTTTTGTAGGACGTGGCCAATTGATTTTATTTATTTATTGGATTTACTTTCAACACACACTTATGAGAAGATTGGTGATGTTGTTTGAGTACGAAAACCGATTGGAATTGATTGTACGACAAATAAAGTTATATGCTTAAGAAAAATTTTGAAAAAGCAGGAATGACGCTTTTCAATCCTGTGAAAACTGCTACTTTGGAAATTATAGGATCTTTTAAGTTATTAATAATACTTACTTTGTAAGTCATTGCTTTCCATGGTAAATGTGCTACAGATTTTAATCGATAGTTGAGGAAAAGTTGGGGTGTCATTAATAGTAATCCAAAAGCGTAGACACCTACAAAAGGATAATAACGTTTTATTGATAAACAGGAGAGAGTACTAAGTTGTCGACAAAACACCGGAAATAATAATAATCCGCAGAAAATATGATGAAGTGACGCACTACTACGTCAAGTAACTAATTGATTAGAATATGATAATTTCAAATCTGGGACGTGATCGACCCAAAGTGCACTAAATAAACATATCATGAAGTGAATAAAACTGACTTTCACGCTTAAAATCAAACCTTTAAATATGGAGAATTTACAACACAAGTAATATCAGCTTACAGCCTCTGAAGTGTTGATGTCACATTTAACGTAAAAAGTGGGGAGATACTGATTAACTTTACTCCCGTTATCGGCAGCTTGTTCATGCCTTAATGTGCTAGGATGCCTACATAAAGTCAGAAGTGATTAATAGTGGGAACGACCTCATTTCGTTAGCTCTGGATACCTGATGGATTATGGCTTGAATGTGAAAATATACAGTAAGACCGACCTATTGTTTCAACTTCTATATTGTATGTTTGATAACCGATGAATACAGATCAACATAATCAAACAGGAATTTTAAAAAAAGCCTAAATGTTGATTCTTTGAATCACAAATGCACTCATCTTCATAAATGACTTGTCTAATGTACATTACAACTATTCGAATGTTTACTACCTAATGAGTCTGAAGAATGGCTTGAAAAAAGCAGAATGTTTCACTCTAATCTCCAGTTCAATAGATTACGGATCTAAAGGATTAATGTACATATTTCAAAATCAAAATTAGTTGAAATCTTGTCCAAAAAACAGTAAAATATACTTTCAGGAGTAAGTAAGTAAAATCTCTCCTGACTATGTTTTTCTAAAACGCATTTTCACGCATAAGTTTTATTTTCTTCATTAAAAATAACCTTTCTACAATCTCTTTACTATTGCAATTACTATCAAAGAGCCATATACATCAATGAGTTTACAGTTCAGGAAAAATGATAGTATTAGTGATGATAACAGAAGTCGAAGAAATCTCTAGAAATAATCATCTGAATATTTATTAACTCATCACTAATGATAACTTTAAAAGATGGTTACTAAAATCAAGCATAGTACTAAAATACTAAGTTATAAATTTTGATTCAGTGGGCAAAATGAAACTTACCATTAACCATAGTCTCTAAACACCAAGAATACCAGCTAAAAAGAAACGTGTTAAAAGTATAAACGAATATAAGGTTAGCATTCAAAGAAATAAACCATGGAAAAGGTATCAAAAAACGTAAAAATATTATTTCCACAATATCCACAGACAACTAGATCAAAAGAAACAAATGGATAGGTATTATAACAAATATTTAATATCAGAAGGGGTTTGTGGAGATTTTTAAAAATTTCCACAGATTGAAAATATTTAATAATTACTAAAACCCTATCCATACCGTTTAATGAGAATATAGCAAAAAAAGAGATCAACAGTGATTATCAAATTACCTACCTTCGATGTGGTAGATAAAATAAGGAATAAACCGAACCACCAATACAAAGAGGAATCATAATATACATCAGCCAACGCATAAATTGTGCATCCAATTGATCGGTTGCTTCTTCCTCCTTCGACCGTTTACCCCATCGGACACCATGATAAAAACTAATAGAAAATTTAGTCATTCGACCTAACTTCCACAATTCTATCAAAGTAGATATTCCCATTGGAACAGAAACTAGTAGGCTACTTTTCTCTTCCCATAAATGTAGAAATATAATTAAGGAACTGACGAATCTCCACACAACTTCATTTCACCATATGAAAAAACAAAGATAGAGAAATTGTGAACTAAATAGTAGAGAGACAGAAGTTGAATTAAAAAACGTTTTACACTCCATGGTATAGCCAATGGTGACTAAGTGGTCAAAACAGTCAACCTTTAATTATTAAGTCGCAGATTCGAACCCCACTACACCGAATTGAGTTTGAGTTGGATAATAAAGTTGGTATCATTAGCTCTCAGAAAAATTATTGGAATACTTAAACACATAATTAGTGAGTGAGTCCTATCAGTTCATTGTAGCATGGCTCAAACGAACTGTGTCAATGAGCATAATGTTAAATTACGATAGGTGATGTACTTAAAAAAAAATCTAGAAAATGAAAATACATTCTGACTACCTTTAATCCGTTAAAAGAACACAAAAAATAAACCAAGCGATATAAACGGTTAATCCCATTCAGTAACCAATAGCAGGTTAGTCTTCTGAAAGCCATATATCAGGTTCGAATCCCGCTGGTATTACTCCACCGTAAAAGCCTAAGTAGATGGAGTAAGGTTTGGACCCTTAAACCAATAGTTGAGATTAGAGCCCTTTTAAGAAATAACGCCTCATTCCAAACGAGTAATAGGATAGAAATCAGATAGCACTTATAAGCTGATAATCTACGGATCCCTCTTTCCAACACTACTCTATTATATTAAGTAGTGACGTATTTTTATTATGCAGAAACTTTTTTTCAATTGAATTTTACCACAGTAATTTGGTGGAGGATAATAATGCTGATATAGTTTCTACTATATTATCGGAAATAATCATACCCTAAGGTAGGAATGTATTAAATGTAGCACATTTTACTTAATTTCTATTTCACCAGTAAGCAGATTTTAGCAGTCACGTGCCATGTGCAAAACATATAAAAATAATAAAATTAAAGTTTACTTAGTTCCTGCTGTACCGAAAGGATAAACCCACTAGAAATCTAAATTTATTTGTTATACTACCTCCTACCTGATACTATTTTCTCATATAAATACTACTGCGGTATGTTATCCAGTGTCTCAGAATAAAAAACAATGATCCCTTCGCCTTATTTGTTAATCAAGAATTAATTCACCTTCATGTAGACGCGAATCAATTGTCAATGAATAGCGTGACGTTAAATTGTTTTTATAAATTGAGAAAAATCTGGAAGTTGATGTAAATGTATTCTAAAACAACCTTACAACTTCAATTATAAACCATTCTTATTATTTCAAGGGAAAAAGGCGAAGGAACTGACAAAATATGTGACAAAAAAATACCTGTAGGATCAAAAATATTCTACAGTCTAAATGTAAAATAAGCAACTGGAAAGTTGAAAAAATCAGTCAAAATGTTTTCAGGGGATGAAATTTCACTTAAATTCTTGAGATACTTAAGATAATTAACAGGATATACATATTCTTACTTACTAGTTCGTAAAGAAATTCCAACTGAATTATCTGACCGACGCCAAAACGAAATATCATTTTTAAACGCCAGAAAACTGAACAACAGCTAGGATCATTTAAGGAATACAAAAATTCATTTGAAGGAGCATTTGGTTCACGATTCAAGTTATGAAAAGTGCACGATAAAAGTGAGATAAATAGTCACATTAAGCGAACGTAAATGATTTATTAATAAAGCAATCTATCATCTCCCACTAGAAGCTCACGTTTGTTAATCCCATAATCGATTAGAAAGACAAATGACACTGAAACGTCATAATACTGGTAAATAATGTTTAGTGGAAAAGACACAGAAAAACCTCGCTTAAAAGTATATAATTCTTTATAAAAGTTTTATAAAAAACGGTAACACTGAATTCTTTGAAAACCTGGAAACTGATAAGAATTAATATGGTTTGCAGATTTATACTACTTCTAAAAAATAAGTAACAAAATAAGAACTTTTTGAATAAACACGAACGAGGATTTACATACTCAACAATAGCATGAGATAAAAACTGATGAAAGAAGAAAGTCAATAGATAAATAGGATATGCGTATAAATGCAAAAATGAAAAAAAGAATAGTGTTTACAGAACAGATCTTCACTGATAAATTTCGATCAAACTAAAGATCACCCTAGGAATAACACACCTTATTCTACGAACTTATGAACCCAAAAAAGTCAGATGGAGGAATTACCTCTAGAAGCATACCTAAAACGAACTAAAAGAATAGAGAAAACAAGCATCACTAACGAATACTACTCGATTTAAACGAGTGATATGACTCCAGTAGTAGTATTCTACTGAACGGTATTAAACAGGTTTGTACATCTTCTTAGTATGCTTTTCAATAACAAATGCCCCATGATCTATATACCAACGGATCCGAGCAAACTTGAATGTAAGCAAGCAAAGGGTAAACGTTTGATCGACAGATCAACGTTCAGGTCTGAACTTTGATCATTTTCATCGAGTTCGCAGTTACTAACCTTTAGCCATGCACCCACTGATTAAAGGTAATATTTTAGACATTCAAATAATCCAAGTGATCACATTGTTTTTATCATGAGACTCTTATCCTTTTGTATGTATCGAGGCAACTTTCTGAATGAAATTGAGTCCAGCTAACAAACTACTTTATATCTCAGTTAATCTAATTGACAAGTGTGGACCACTGATCTTATAAAAAGGTAGAGTTGACTAAGAGCCTGCTATTCTACTTAACCTTGTGAAAATTACACAAAACCGCTTGGATAAATGTTAGGTATCGATGTTCCACTGTCTACTTGTGGATAATAGCTGACTGGAGCGTAATTGTGAACATACAGATAAGAAGAGAAGCGGTAATAGAATCAGTTCGTTCAAATATTAGAAGCTGATGCTATTTTTAAATCAACCTGCTTCGGTTTGGGCGCCCGGGCAATATCACAGCCCTTACACATATCAAATGAGATTTGTGTGGCGCATATGTATTTGGTGCCTCCTTGTACCAATACCCATGTGTTAAAATAAATAATAATAAATAAATATTTTCAAAACAATGACTTAATTAATTACCGAAATATTATCGTCGAAACAATAAAGCCATTGTTTTAATAAAATGATAACTATAAGTATAGTGAAATCTATGGGAGCCTAACAATCTACACTTTTTAGAGGCTAGTAACTACAATGAACTGAAAGTAGATGAACGAGCTGAACCACTCCTCTATGTGATTAAAACGAACATCATAATAATAAACAATAATCTGTGAGCAACCTAATTTATTAGATTGATTTCAAGAAATACTTTTAGGTTGTATGAATCAGTAGACGAAAAATGCCAAGAGTAACTGAAGTCACTTGCATTTTAACACCTAACTACGTTACCTAGACCTAAGTTATTCCAAAAATGACTCAGTTTAAATTTTGTGAACAGTCTATATTTCTGTAGGAGTATGAGAATATGGAAACCAACACTTAGGTCATAGTTTTGTAAATTATTTAACTATAAATAGTGTGCGATTTTATGATTTTGCTTTCATAACGCTACCAGGTAAAAGAGATTATGCGAACTGAACTTACATGGAAAACAGAAACAAATAATGTGGTCAGCAGAAGGTATAAATTGGTGTCGAGAAAAATACCACGTATCTCGTCAATCTCCTTTGATTTTATACCTATGAAAGTGACAAAGCATTACTTACATTGATGGACATTATTAAAGATATTGGAAGTTTCACATGAGTTATTAAGAATACATCTGAAAACTATCTTACATGTACAGATCGATGGAAAACTGAAAACACTTAAGAAAAACCACGACGTCAGTTCCATTTAGATGCAAAATAATAGTACCAATCATATGCCATTCGACAGTCTAGTACATATTTGTTTTTATAATCTTCTACCATCAGTGTAATGAGTGATGATACTTCCTTTTGGTTTCTTTATAAGTGATGTTTCTGTATTCTTGCAATGAATCGTTTGATTTTTAACTCATTCAGACTTTGTTTCTTTTATTGGAGGATCAGTATATTTTCACATCAGATGAGCGAAACCAGTGTGTTGGTTAAAGCCTCTACACTATCCATTCATTGTGTTTTTCATTTTAAGAAGATCTGCAACAGAACTGCGGACGTTCCACAGTACAATTTAGAAAAATGAATGGTTGCAGTTTTTGTCTTTCGTTGTTTTCAGGTTCAATTGTTTTTAAAATAATTTGTTAAATCTTTGGTTTCTCTTTTTTCAACGGAGAATATTGACTATTAAACTATTATATCCTGTTGCATGTGACCGACAAAAAATTAACTCTAACAAATGACGGATCTCCAGAACAAAATTACCAACTGACTTATAACGTCGTTGAAAGTTTGGTGATCGGTGTAGTTTCCGCCATATATTATGGCTTAGATGGAACAGGTAACTTGGTTGTTCAGCATTTGGATATACTTGTCGAAATGTTGATAAGGCTGAATATTCTCAATCGGTTATGACAAATGACAAACTTAAAGCCAGGCGCAGTTCGTTCAGTTTGTTAAACGTGAGCAAACTTGTACTTTTGTCGCTCATTAGAATATAAAATAATGGAATAGTCGTATTAAATTTCATGGTAAGAAGTATGCACACCTAAGTATACAAGGGTGGTGGTCTTGTATGTTATATCGGGAATACCAGTGAAAAAACTTCGCCAACCATTCCAGATTCTGAACTGCAGAAAATGTTAAGAATTTGTCTTTTATCCTGCTTGTTATGTACAAGGAAATTCGCTCTTCCCACAGCCGTCTTACATTCAAACGGTATTTAGTGTACAAACTTGGATTTAGCAAAGACGACTGATGGTGGTTGTTTCACTTAAGTTAGGAATTCAGCTGACACCAAATACGACAAACCGGCAAGTGCCATAGCTACGACTTGATGAGTCGACTGTGTTAATGAAGTTATTCAGCCTTATATTTCACTGGCTACTCTTCTAGCATATGCTTTGTCTTTATCTAGAGCAAAACTATATTCCATCGGCTACTTCGTAGTAACATCAAGGTAACCTGGGTTTGCCCGTACGATATATCATACCCTTCAAAATATTTTTATAGTGAAGCAATCTCTCTTTTCTGAAACTGCGACCATCCATTTCCAAGAAGCTATAATCATTGTTACTTTTTACACCGTCTAACTACACTATGGTGGGTTATGAAAAATTTAACCCTGTATCTTTAAATATGTTTTGCATCACTTCGGAAATCGATGTGGGACTTTTTGATGCTTGGTTTTACCTCACGATATCTGGCTAAATAATATAATAATGGCATTGTCATTAAATTATTAAATCTATCCTTATTGATATACGCCATTCCTCATTCCTCTTACTAGAACAAACCACTTGATTAAGCCAGATTATTTGTTGAGTAAGTCTGGTCTCCATTAATAGTTTCATACAAAGTAGTGACCTTGACCGAAAGATATGGTAATACCTGTGATGATATATGATTTATAACCCAATTTAACTACAATAACTTAGTTATTATCAACCATGTAATTTAACAGTAACTATCACCGACAATAATAAGCTTCTAAATTCTTATCAGCCCATCTATTGCCGTCCCGTGGAAAAATTAGTTATAGCACCTTCCCCATGTCGTCCTTCCGCCGAATCTAACATCTTGTTATGTGAATTTAGCCTCATGAAGTAAACAAATTAAGAGGTGCCATCATAAGTCCTCATTAAACACCAAATATTGTTCATCTTTTGTGGTACGGGACGGGTAAGACTGTTTGCTGAATGTTAATCAGTGTTTTAAACATGCATCAATATTTGTCCAAAAACTAAGTTAGGCAAGTAGTTCATGATAAACATGATATTTATTAACTGACGTTTATCCTATCAAATAGTATTCTTGATAATATCCTTATTTGTACCAAAATAATATACCACAGACGATTCACTGTTGTTTGGACAAATTATATAGCATTAAGTTCTCTGTAAATTAGACAAGACTGTGTGCAAAGTGAATCAATTTTTGAAGTCCGATTAGGTTATTAGCCTAAATTTTAAGCCTTTTCAGATGTGTTTTGGAGAGATTTAGTAGCGTTATTCATGAGTAATAAACTGAAATTAACAAACAAACGAGTAAAACGTGACTGAATGCTTCTCACGTAATTTATTCGATGTTAAAGGAGACTATATGAGCATACGGGAGTCAACTAGAGTATTTCTGTTTCCATGGTTCTGACATCATTGAGGTACGTGATATCTTCAAGTTATATTTTTGGAAATTTAGGAGACTTGTAAACGACAAGTTGATATCAGTTCTGAAGATGACTGAATGCAACAGATAACTTTCATTTTTCAAAACACTAGTCTAATTTCTCTTAGCTTTGAGCCTACGCCTCTTTGGACAAGAACTGACGAAACGACACACTTTCAATTGGGAAGTAATGTATTTGGGATATGCAACTAAATTTTAAGAATTATGAAACAACCTACCATAAGAGAGTAACTGATCAGCCACTGCCTCCAACATACACCGCAAACGCAAATGTCCAATCGAAAGTGGCTCAATGGATAAGACCATTTCTAATCGACGATTTTCAGGTGGTTGGTTGACTTCTAACCAATCACTTGAGGCTTGAAATTGGGGTTAACATATATCACTGGCAAATACCCCTTTGAGCTAAGCTGAATACGCCGAACTATTTCACCAGGCACATTATATCGACTGAAGGACACTGGGGTTTGAAGAACATATACACGCAGTGTTGATAGCCAAAACGGCGCAAGCAAACCATGATCCTTGTTTGAATTGTTGGGTGATCCCTGCCGAGAAATTCATACAAACCAATATCTTAGGATTTATTCAAACTTTGTGTAATATATTTGAAGTACTAAGAACATTACTTCTGGAAGTGAAGCATGAGAATATTTTACATTGCACGTGAGCGAGATGAACTAGCACAACTTAACGCCTGAATTTTATCGAAACATTGAGTTCTTGAGTAAAACTCCAAGATAAATGCCAAACTTTTAATATGTTTTTGACTGAATTCCAGTTAACAGTATTAATATACCAAGCAGAATCAATAAAAATCAAACGAACTTACATGGCTGGTCATCAAGTTGAAAGCTGTTCGAGTTGCCTCCTTATGAGTCAATAGGCTAAAATCATTGCTCGAAATGATTGAGCCGGTACTTGTCAGCAAGCGTAAGCGAACAGTTGCGATAGAATCGCTAGTCAAAGGTACGTCGACCATGCAGTTATATTTCCTTCAAAAGTGAGTTTAGAACTTGAAGAAGTTACTTTAATAATCCAGTATTGATTTTAAAAGTCTCAGTTGTTGAAATATCTCCAATGAAAACCCCTCCTTTGATAAATTGTAAATGTATCTTCAAGGAAAATAGGAATATAAATAAGGAATACCTTGAGTTCGTCGTCTGGCTTCCATCCTGGTGTTATGCATCCTAATGATCCTTTACAGTTCGAAGGGAAAATACTTCAAACAACGACCACGACACAAAGCAGAAGTAACCGAGAGAGAAGGCTAACAAAACTTGAGACAACTTGAACATGTGCCAAGAAGCGCTTTGCCTTGAAATGACCTTAGACACCGCAACAACCTGGATCATCTTAACGACATTTGAAAATCAAGTTCTGCCTTCAACCTTAAGGAAGTCAGAGGGCCTTTTAGCTACTTGCATAGCTTTTCCGAATAGCTAAGGATGAGGACACAGGTTGATTTTTACCAAATAATATGTGTAGTGACTCACGTTTATCACGAGAACACGACTGGTTTAATAAAAAACAATTATTATTATAACCAACTGTACCAGTGTTTGTTTTAACGTGCTTTTGTTTGACTGTGCTAATGACAGCTATTTTGTGCTTCCATTCTTATACTTACACTTCGATTGTAACTTCGCGCGAATTCGGTTACCTTCTGTAACCAAGGTTGTATCCTGGCACGATCTCGGTATCCTTTCGATGCCACGAGATCGCCAGCAAATATAACTCGACTTGGTCCATTAATTGCCTTCTGGTATTCGGCTTCTCGGGGATTTTATGGAGTCATTTGGAACGAGCTTCTTACGCCTTCTGATCTATTTGGCACGTGTTTCTTGGTAGCGGTGTTCATAGTTAATCTCAACTCGACGCCACGCTACATATGTATCCATATTTCTGTAATTGCTCAAGCAACCATCTGAGGCAAGTTATTCCTCAAGACTTCAAGAGGGATCTAGACGGAATGAAAGAAGACTGTTTTCGAGAAGCTCAACTATTCATTTGAAATTGAAACCGTATTAGTCAGGCGGAAAGTTTTCACATGATAACTAGTTGAAACCTCAAGAAAATTCTGGCTTTTCGCTGCTTGTTAGCAACCTTGGAAGTGTGAGTCGCCTAATAAGTGCCTATTAGGACACACCCAGAGTCCTTAACTTTATCCTTTACAAAATTTTATTGCTTGGTTTATCTCTATTTAGACCACAACAAACTTCTATTCTATAAGTGGATTTAATAATATGTATTGGAAAATGGGTGTAATACTTTACGGACTAACTATAAGCTCATCCTAATGTCAGAAAAGCTAGATATGGCCTTGATGTACTTTTGTAATATTCAACATCAAATATGGGATTGCATGGAGGTAAGATATTCAACTGTTTCCCTTCTCATAACACCCGAATCTTGAAATTGAAAAATCACAATTGTTCGCTGGGCAACATCTTCTACCGATTGTTTTAGCCTTGTCAGAAGTATAAGTTACCGTTGTATTTGCATTATATAATCAAGCGATTGAGTGGAATCTTAAACAGTGATATTCCTGAATAGGCATTTAGGATGCGAACCAAATAACACATGCAGCAACGATCATGTTGTATGGCGATAGAATAAATACGACTGTGCTGAATTAACAGAAGCCGTCGTTTGATTTAAAAGTAACGCCTCCCGTTTATTTCAATGGATTTCTGATGACAAAGACACTAGAATCGTGGTCAATTGTATTGGAGTTATGATAGGCTGGAATTGTTATGGATAAAATAAACCACGAATTACGTTAGAAAACCGCTCCGTTTGGAAAAATACGTCCAAATTGTCACGAGTAATTGTTACTCAGGCCCTCTCGAACATTTGTTGGGCAGTAGACTAAGAGAATGACGTCTATAGGAAAACAGACTGGCACAGGTTTATAAGAAAAGTACACTAATAAGCACACATTGAGACGTGATGAACGAGTTAACTTGGCTCTTACATATGGATATGAAAGTACGGCTCCGTGGATTTTAAATGTTCGTATCAACGATCATGCTTTCCCCACTAACATCTTCTAGATTTAAACTGTGTTCAAACTGTTCAAAAAGTGGAACTTCCTCTCCTCTTTTCAACAACTTTGAACGAACTGAGTAGTGACATGCGTTCTGTGTTTAGAGTTCCTCGGGTCGGTTCCATCGCAGAATAGAACGGCGTTGTTACAACGTTGTACATTATTCAGATACACAGTGCGACAGGTCCATCTCTTAGTAACGCATAAGTGATAATTCCTTTGGAACTTATCTAACTTCTTCAAACTGTGAAATGTCAACCGCTTGCCGCCCATCAAGTTAGGCACTCTGATGGCTGCCATCTGTCTCTTAACTCTTTCATCACGTTCAACATCATCAATCTAAAAGAAACAGTTAACTGTAGATCGGCTGGACTAAAGGAGTAGTCGAAGACTGTTACATCAACAACAACTCACGAGCATGGCGTTAGGTTCTTGAAAAAGTGGAACGGAACAAACGCTTCTTTACCTTTTGCTAATATGACGTCAAAAAACCCAAACGTTGGTGCTGGAATGTGGAATTAACTTTTTTTCATACAAAAACCAATGTTATCTGTCAGAATCACGTCTTAGAAGACTTAAACTATGCAGTAAATAACAAATCCATTTTTAAAACAACTGCGCTATACCATCGTCAGGTTCTATCCATGGAATTTCCATTGACTTTGGAAAAATCATCCACATTTCCATCCGTCTGTGGTTTTCTCAAAAATCTGGGGAGAACTATAGATTATAATATGACTCAGGGGAAGAACCCCATATCTACGCCAAAATTCCACAAGATCAAGGGATTACGCTAGTGCAGTGGTTTGTAGCATTCGAAGATAAACGGGTGTTTACTTGTTAAGTGGCAATTCATAGGTTAAATACCTATAAACATGTAAGCTAGGTATGGGGGATTAATCGAACAGTCAGCTTCTACTCTCGGTACTGATGTGAGCGACAGAACCTCATGCAACAGTATTCATATGTAGATTGTATTGCCTTTTAACTACCATGTTATCTTGTACATTGAATATATTTTTTACATAAGTGATGGTTTCTGAATTTAATTTACCAGTTAACACATATCCATCATGAACTTTTATAAATATTTTATATAAGTTCATAACAGTTACCGTAAACTCATGAATGTTTCCTGATTATACAAAGTGATGCATAAATACTTCATAGATGGCTGCTGTTGTACTCAATAAACTTACGTTTAGTCACTAAAATCCTTCATATACCCACAGACAATGAGTTTAGTATCATACCCATAGATTCTATTTGGTTAATGAGCTCCTTACCCACTCAGCATCCAGTTGTAACCAGTAATCCCAGGAAGAAAAAAACGTTACTTACTTCTAAACCAACGAAGCGGTCGAAATCTGTAATCCTTACGTCTGATAAATCAGTACTAGACGAAGCCAATCCTTCGGCTTATGAACTCTGAACTTCTCATCTACAAAAATTTCTGTCACTGCCTGACTTTCCATACCAAAACCCCTCCACCTTTTAGGACGGTATGCTGACGGTAAAACTTGTTGATATAAAAGGTACGATACCCACGCGCACTGAAAAGTCAACAAAGTGTATCTGTCAGCATGATTCACTAGGGCCAAAATACAAAATTTCAAAGGCAGGGAGTATAATATTTTACCGTGTGCACTACTAAATACCGACCACTCCAGTACGGATATCCATCAGTCACAAAACTCACTTGCTAAAATTAGCAGTAAACTAGTTCGCACACCTCACACATATATGGGTTCCGAATTGTAACAAATACCCCAAACAACTCACTAAATTTGGATGCATCCTAATTGTTTGTAGCTGAAGTAGTAACGAAAAGAGCGACGCCAATGTCATGTAAGAAAACGTAAAGCAATAGAATCGCGTGGTCAAGTTACAGCAAATGAACATCGAGAGGTGGCTTGCAATTGTGTAAAGAGTATCAAACATATTCCCTGTGAGCATGATATGGATACATAAAAGACAGATCACTCCGTAGACCTAGATAAGTCTATAGGATCCAAACCACGTTTGGACTGCTGGACAGCTGCCTGGATAAGTTCGATACGCGCCCTCGCCCGTTTGAAACCAAAACAAGGTAATTGGGTAAGATAGCGGTTCTAAACAAATATAACCACACAGCTATCCAACCAATAATTGTTTAATTGATCAAATCTAAACAATCACCACAAATAAATGTTATTCTATCCTGTCTGGATAGATCACGTACAGATTCGTTCAAAAGGTAATAATTGGTCGCTCTATAACACAGAGTGTTTTCAATTCTGGAAGAGTGCTTCAATTTACAACCAAAATGCACAATTCCAGTCAACACAGGTCAAGCAATCAAAGGCAGGAACCAACCAAAATGGCTGCCGCTCAGACTTAGTATAAAGTAAAACAACATAAGTGCAGTTCGGGAAGAAACATGGGGAATTAGTGAAGGTTTGGTAAAACAAGAACTATAATAAAATACAAAGATTAACAATTCAAATGTAGTCCAAAAGTTAACAATGTACAACTAAGAAGATCAATAGGAACAAAGTGCAAGTATATACATGGAGGGATTTTCACAAACACACAAGGCATTCAAAATGGATCTTACAAAGTCTGGAAGTCAGAAATCTTTGATTAGGGTATGGATTCCAACTAACACCAAAAAACATAACGATATTTCTATTTCTAGTCCAGATTTCTCACATAGTAAAGTGCTTGAATGTGAGTCATATGACAACACACAACCTCCTAAAGGTACGACACAAGATAACCCGAATAAAATTTAATTCATTTCACGAGCAGGAGGAAACTCTTCGGTTCTGGCAAAGAAGGGTGAAACAGCAAATCTCATCACATATATAAATATGCTTCAACCCGACTTCTCTATGGCTCTGCCAGAAACAGTTGAAATATTCCCTTTTCTGATATCACATAACTTCAACACA